CCCAGTCATCGAGGACAGTTTTGGAATGTTTGGGGACATGTCTTATTCTTAAAATCGGATTTGTGGCTGTTCATTTGTGTGTATATTTGTGTATATATATGTATATGTATTATATGAGAGTACACCTTAAGCTTCCATATCCCAAGAAACATGCTCTGCTTCCATCCTTCCGGGATCTTGTTTGGATGGGGCAGAACTTATTGACGCTGGTTTACGTTCACCCATCTAGCGAATCTAGCTATGGATGAATCTGGATGATCGAAATCAACCCCAGGTAAACTAGTTACAAATCAGCAGAAACATATCATAAGTCGCATTTAGATCCCCACATCCACATTGTTCCATTTGTTTTTGGCTAAATCATCCACATGTTTGATGTTTTAAATCCACATTTTTGATGCTTAAACCACCATTTGTGATTTTTTAAATCCACATTTCATGTATATACGTACAGTAGGTTAAATCCACATGTTTGATGTTTATATAAAATCCACATTTTTCGTTGGGTAAGTTAAACCCAGTACCGGCCGAGGCAATGGAAAGCCCAGCCACTGGGGAGGCGTTGAATCAGGAGCTTTTCTGCCGAGCTTTTCCCCTCTTTGGGTACCTCTAAGAACGGGCGATTTTCTACCCATCATTTCGGGGCTTGTGGCCATGAAAGAGCCACCATTTTGGCACTTATAATGATAGCCAATCAGGATTTGGGATTTGTTATCTATTCGGTGGTGTGGAGGGTCTTAAGTAGTTAGAAACAGTATGAAACAGTTCGAATGATCATTTTGGGACCCATGAAATCATGGGGAAGCAGTTGCCTGATGCCCTACAGGAACCCCGAGAGCAGTTCGTGCCCAAGTTTCGACCACTTCATAGGAGATACACTTTGTGGAGGTGAATGGCAGTGAATGAATTTTAGTGTTTTCTGGAAACTCAGAAACTAGCCTGCTCAACATGAATTGTTTGTGCACGATTTTGCCATGACTGGGGGCATTCAACTGCCATGACTGGAGTGGCCACAAGCTGTGCACCGTCGAGGTCCTACCGAAATGGAGTTTGGAAGAGAAATGAGAAGTTGGTTTACCTCTCCAACTTCCTTCACATGACCCTGTACCCCGTGGGATTGGAAGAATCTGAACACTGAACACCCCCTTTTTTCCCCACATCCACCATGGTTCCTGGGGGTTAACGGGGATGCTGGAGTCCTCCGTTGAAAACCCATGTGGTCTTAAAGCTTCGGATGAAGATAGTTATGCATTCCAAGGTTCTGTACCAATCCCTTCCCCATAATGTTTAAACAAACCCAAACAAAACCCTGATTTAGTATTGGATCTATTCCTTTTGAACCATTGGATTTGATTTACCATTAGGTGGAAGGGATTAGAAGAGATGACTTCTTTCACGCCGAAGGTGCGTCCAAAATTCAACTAGACCAGTTCTTGACGTGTCGTGGGAGTACATATTTGTAGCTACAAAGAAAGCCTCCGACATTTTGGCACAATTTTGCCGGTAAGCGTCAGTTTTGCGTGCCAAGAAATCAGCTCTTTTGCTGGGTACCTAAAGTCGACCATGATAAAGGAAGACATTCCAGCTGAGTTTGGGTAAGGCCTGGTCCCCTGGTTGCTTCCGTCTGATATTCATTTGGTACTTACGTGTCCGCTTACCAGCTGCTGAGTTCATCACACATTTCACGGAAACCACCCCTCCTGATGATTTACTCAGATTTCAATTCGGCTGCGCCAGGTACACCATGTGCTTTGGGGGAATTTTTGACATTTTTCTCTACCACCTCTCACAAGATCAGCAGGCTCTGGAAAACTCCGGGGCTGGGATGGCTTGCCTTGTCGTGCCAGTAGAGGTAAGGGCGGCCCTTCGCCTAAGGCAAGAGCTTTAAATCCTTTTTAGACGATGTTGCGGCTTGAGACCAGAAGATGGCATGGCAACATGGTTGATGTTTCAAGATTTTCTTACTAGGGCAGCATCAGTAGAGAACATGTACAAGGGCCTCTCCCAAAACAGTCTCAAACGCATGAAATCCGAAAGACAAAAGAAGTATATATAGCAGTTTGACGTGTCGGCAAAGCACATATATCCACAACTCATTGAACTCCAATTTTTGTCTGGTTGGTGGTTTGGAACATGAATTTTATTTTCCATATATTGGGAATAATCATCCCAACTGACGAACTCATATCTTTCAAGATGGTTTTTTAACCACCAACCAGAAAACCCATCCCAACCATCCCAGTGGCGAGCTGGGAGCCGCAGGTCATCCTTGAAAATCGCATTACCGTGGGAGGCACCGGCCGTCCTCCGCCAATTTTCGAGGTGAACACGTGCGCGGCGACGGAAAAAAATTGGGGGTGGTTTTTGACAAAGTTCTACCAAATGTAGATCCAGTTTAGGGGATATGTTGGAAAGTCAGTTTTGGATGTTTGTTCTATAGTACTCGTATGTTCTAGTGACCTAGTGTATAGCACAATTAAATGTCATTAATTATATATAATTATGAATTATGTGATTGTTATTTGTTGTTTACTTCTTTGGGTACTGTTTCAATGTAACGTCTGAACTGGGGTATGATCAATTATGGCTTGGCCGCCCGAGCCAAGTTCGCTGAGGTACAGCAACTTCGAACTCACCTTCTCCATCAGACCGTCCATCCCCAAGTTGGGTGTACCCTCCGGTGGAAACTCAAACGTGGCTTGCTGAAAAATCCATGGAAATCACCTGGTTCCATGGAGGTTTTAGTGGGACACTCAATGAAAATCATCGAACTAAATGGCGGATTGTCCATTGTCATGTTTGATTACCGCAGGGTACCTCTATTGGAGATGATGGAACATGAGCCCCAAATGGTTTGGTTACTGAGGTGATTTATGATTGGATTTACTGCATTTGGTGGTTTTAAATGCCGTTTTTACATCATGTATGAGGCGTTTCCCATGGCTTATACAACCAGCCCGAAATGAGGATTATATAGCCAATATAATTATTTAATACGCCCAACTTGACTCCAAACTTAACTAGGCTTTTGCTTGGGGTATACAAATATTGGGGGAAGGGCCTATACCCTCCTGTAAACCAACATAGATGTGGAAAATCTCCATGAATGTAGATTGATTTTCCGAATGGTTTTCCCCATGGGTTTTCCACATCTATGGCAACGTTTACCACGGGGTAATTAATATGTTATAGATTATAGATACACTGATACACCAAGTCTGATCTGGGGAACCAGATTCTGTGGGACCATCGACTTTTATTTAACCAAGTAAGAACGGCTAAAAAACTATACTGGTTGGCGGTTTCATTTTGTTTGTTTCCATAATATATGGGATAATCCTTTTTCAAGACGGTTAAAACCACCAACCAGAAATGATCCAAGTTTTGCGCGCAGCTTATCAAAGATTTGCCATGGAATGAAGGTGCTTGCCGCGGTGGATACCTTTCTGCCAACCTCAGCAGATCTATCATCAATCTTCCGTGGCTCAAAATTGTGCCCAAATAAGTGGTATAAACCATTCCCAAACGGGTGGTTGATTATTGTTTTAGCCCCATTATGTGGGTTGGTTAAATCCTTGTTCTTGACAGTTCAATCCCGATGTGAAAACTCCGGCATTTTTCGGACTTGGAACCGAGGTTTGAAGCAGTCAGCTATCCATCAACCTCCAATTGTTCCAGTCTCTACACTTGCGTGGAACCCAGGGGGACCCCATGGGTGACCCTGCATAACCTTCGAGATTCCTGAAAAGGGGGGTTGATGGCCTAATACAATGGCTTCCCAGAAGGCTATTCGTGTCAGTGGTAAGAAACTGTTTTGATTGGGACTTGTATGTACCGTTCTGTACCCAATCTATCCCAATCTGAGAATACTATGTGTTCTGTCCGCAACCTTCCTCAACATGAGGAGTCTGTCCGCATCCATTTGAGACCCGGACATGTTGGGATGTGTCAGTCCTCAACCCTCGCAAAAAGTCCTGCCGTATTCTGCATAAAGATGAGATATTGAATTCTCAACATGGAACCCCCAAACTATGACCTATGCAGGTAGATATGACCATTCATGAACGGGTTGTAAACTAAATTCGATCGTTGTTACAATTTTTATATAAGGGTTGCCCTCCGGTCATCAAACATGGCTGGGAAATCCCTTCTAAAAATAATCAAGCTATAGAAATTGTGGATTTTCCAGCAGCCAGAAGATCTATCCTGTAAAAATTACCCAAGATTTACTCATCAATCTCATCCCCTAAGATTAAACACCACCAGAAACGATGGTTCAGTAGGGGATTTACACACATTACCCAGCAATGGGGGTGGTGATTCATGCTGAGTGGATGGGATTACTCCTCACTGTGGCTTCATCCCGAACTTTTTCAGCCGCTTCCCCCAGGTGGTACGTCAATTCTACACATCACCGATGGCACTGGCAATGGCGACTGTTGCCAGGTTGGCTGCGTTAAGGGGGTGGCACTGACAGCCGGTGTCACGATTTTTTCGTGGAACACCCAGCATGTATAGATCATTCTCCGGAAACACTGATGGGTTTCCATAGATTGATGTCTTTTTACGGAAGGTGTTCCGGAGAACCATTTCCTTTCAATTCTCCATTGAATCAAACCATGATCGAACAATCAAGACCTGTCCATATTTTTAAACAACTCACCAGAGAATAGCAGTGAATCAGCCGGAAACCAGTCCCAGTAGATTTTTTGGGGTTGCATCCAATCACCACACCATGCTCAGCTTGGATAAAACCACCCAATTTGGGACATCCAACGCCGATCCAAATGTCCCCATGTTAATGTTGCCGTTGTTTGCCCAGGTGGGAAACCGTGCTCCTGCCATGTGCAGCATCGACTCGCGTCGAAAGATGTTTTATGTTTTTTTGCTTTTGAGGTCTGACATGTTTCTCCCTATAGCTTCATCAATTTTCATCAATTTTCTATCCACCAAAAGTGACAATTTTAGATTTTGAATTCCCGCTATGTCCAGCTTTTTTCTGCTGCCACCTGCAATTGTTTGTTCTCCGCCTCTGTGCCAGGAATACCCTTCGCGTATTTCACCAACGGAACGTCGCCCTGGCTGAGTTCGAAGCTGGAAGACTAAGCAGTTTGGGCATGTTGATCATGTTGTTTCTTCGGGGAATGATATTTTGAGATATTTTGGACGATGGACTTGGGTCTGGCCCTTTAAAAGGGAGAAACATGGAGAAACCAGATGACGTAAGCTGGAGCGGTTCGTAGCTATGGGTCCATAGATTGCCCAAGAAAGTGGGCCAGCTGCAGCTCAGATTTGCCCAAAACCACAGTTCAATCTATAGAAATCGAGCAAAACATCATATTAGTCGAACATTTCTCCTCCAGAAATCTATGGCTTTCAGCTATATTTCCCCTACCTATATCATCCTATATCCATAGAGGTTTCCATCACTGGTGCGATGACAGGACCAAGCTGCAACTCTCCATGGATGCGCTGGGTCAGAACGAGACCTTAGATCGTAGGTGGGGAGTTGGATGGCCCCAGGAGCACCAGAAAACTACCCAGAAAACATGGCGGAGGATTTTTGACCATGTTCCGATGGATTTTTGGATGCTTGGGATTTTGTTTGATCATGGTTTTTGATTTTTGATCATGTTCGATTATTTTTTGATGTTTTGGATGATTTTGATTGACCAGATGTAAGGTTTCTCATGCGTGGGTCCAAACACCCCACAAATACCCTTCCCTCTAGTAAAACATGGCAGTCGAAAAACTTCCGTTCGATGCTGTTCTCATTCGAACATATTCAAACCCCATTGATTATCGGGTTTTCATGGATTTTCATGTTTAATCACCAGAGGGCACTCCCATTATATCATATTATATCATATTATATCATCTGGGAGCTATTTGCACCAACTCAGTTATTTGGAGTTATGGGGATAGATAGATATATATATATATATATATAAATTATAATATATATATATATACGTACCTGCACCTTCATTTGTACCTGAAAATTGTGCCACGCAAAATTTCCATTACAAATGCCTATAAAAGTGTTCGAGGCCAAAAAAAGGGTACAATCCCCAAAAATCCGCTCGAAGCACCTCGAGATGATCAACATGCACCTCATATTGTGCGTGATCCTGTTCATGGTGGACCTCGCACTGGCACCGGACTTAGTTTTTCCTCGGTTGTTGGTTCAATCCTGCGGTTCTATTTTCAAAATCCTCTTGTAGCGCATGAGGATTCTTGTGAAACTTCTGACCACCGTGGTCCAGTCATGGGTTCGTCTTGTCACTCTGGACACCTGTCCCACGAAATCCTCGTCCTGCCAGCAGCTCCAACCTTTGCTGGCAAAGTTTGTATTGGGCCATTGGATCAGTAAATGCTTGGGTTTTCAGCGGCTATCCTTAAGGAATTCCGAGACACACAGAGGGTTAATGGCGTGGGGAGCCATCTCGCATTGCTGTTGAAGTTCGTGCCTAAGTCAGTGCATGGCTCATAAGTGTCCCTTACTGTAGCTAATATATATATATATATACTATATAGTGTATACTGTATACCGCATGTTTTGGGACAAGCCACGCTATGTGCTCGTGCATATGCAGCTTTGGTCTGCAACGATACAAAACCCAATTGCGCTCTGCACACATGCTAGCGAGAGCACCAAATCCCTCCTTAGACAAGCGTAACTTTGTCTGATCTTTTGTGCCTACTTGGAGAACAAAGCATTCTGCCAAGAAGTAATTCGGCAAGATTCAGTCAACCCAAAAGCAGGCCCCACCATAGGCTCCCCAAACCTTTGCGGGATAAAGACACCATGGTTGTACAACTCACGGAACCAGGCATTGTTGCACTCGACTGTGTACTTCAGCACATCAAAGAGCTCACGGTTCTCGGGGTCCTGGGTGGGCTTGAAGAAAAATGATGACGCAAAGGTATGCAAAAGTGTTCATACTGGTATTACCTATTATTTCATTTTTGGTTTTCCTTGTCTTTGCAGCTAGAGTTCCAACAAGGAAGGGTCGCATTGTTGAAGCACAAAATAAAGCCACTTCTGAACAACTACGCAGTCGTGGCCCTTTCCGGACAACACTGGATACTGTTGCAACCTGAATGGCAGGATTCGGCATATGAGATCCTACAGGAGTAGAAGCTACAGTTGCAAAATCACACAAGCACACTGGAGACTAGGAACGATGTCACTTTCAGAGAGCCATAAGAAAAGTCTTTCAGCTGCGTATGCTCTTTCGCGTAGTAGCACCATTCACGAAAATGCTGGTAAGCCAACTCCAATTTTTTCGGCATGGCGGCAGCTCCAAAAAAACCAAGTCTTGCCAACAAAATGATGGAACTTGCACAAAAATCTTTTCCAACCCCAATTGGCCAAGTGTGTGCTAGATCTATACGAATCCGTGAAGGGCACTCTGCCCCTGGGATGTCTCGCATGGGAGATCTCTCTTCCTTCCAGGGGTGTGGTGTCTCAGCCAGGTTCCAGGTCTTGAGGCAAGTGTTTTCTTGGCCAAACAGCCACCAATCCTCAGTAATAAAAAAAGTGACCTACACATATAGGGATCATTGTGCTATCCGCATCTCACACAGTAAGTTGCGCAAGTTGAGAAAGAAACTGAATCAGAAAAGTCAGGGCACATCCTTGTCACAAAGGTGACAAATTCTTAGTGATCGAAATCCAGATTTCAAGTTCATGAGTTTTCGCAGCCATGGCCAATCCCCTTTCGCGCCCAGGTAGATGAAGTGGAACTTCTCGCCCTTCGCCTGAAAGGTTCCATTGTGAGGCAGGTACCCGATGGGGGCAACAAGGGTGCTTTATTGAAGAACGGGTGTTTATCGAATAAAACTTGGTGGCCTGAATCCCATCGAAGAAACAACTCCGAAGATCATCTGCGATGAAGCGGTTCATGTCATCCATGGTTCGTTTTTTTGAAGCCATCAACTTTGATGGCATGATAGCTGCCAAGAGCCGCGTAGTAAACGAGTGCCTGGATCGGAGCTCATGTATAAACTCCTGAAGAGTAGCTTAAAATAATACAAGACTGTATCCTGGGATGATAGTTGTGACCAGGTTGAGCTAAGGTACCCAGCTATGTTTGTTGCTTCCAAGCCTGTGGGGGGTATGACCATCTGGTAAGAAGTCACCAGCACCGGAGTTTTGGCTTTCCCCCTGCCCTCATCTCCATGAACGCAGTAAGGCACAAGGTTCTCCCATTGTCCTTGTTCAAAATGTTCGAAGACTGGGTGGCTCCGGTCCAATTCAAAGTACCTATGCCAAAACATTCGGAGCATTTCCTTGTAGGCAGGCGATTGCAAGGAATGTCCCCCGAGCACAGTCCCTGGTGAGTTTGTCAAGAGGTACTTGGCCCAAGAAGAAAGCCCGATCATTGGGAAATTTTTGTGCACTAGCTTCACTTTCGGGCGTTGCTCTTTTACCCGAAGTAGAACAGAAGATACATGCACTGGCAAGGTTTTCCTTTCCCTCTCAATCCATTTGTGAAAGTTCCTGGAAACATTTCGGAATTTCCTGGATGATGTTCTTCCAGCTTTGCCAATGTCCTCCAAATAGGGATCCCGAACTCCTGATATGAAAAGGTTCGACAAAATTAAATGGTCCTTTTCTATATATGCCCACAACATAACATGCTTAGTGCATTAGAGAGTCCAAGTTTTGCCATTCGCTTTGAAGTAACCCGTGCCAGCCGAACAACTCGACGGGCAGATTCTGCCTTGAACATCGCATATATATAAGAAGTACGCCAGTTCAATTACTTACATACATATGATTTGATCACGAGCTAGTGCTTCCGAACTACTCCATTCTCAAACCCTTGCATCAACTCATCGGCTAAATCCGATTGAGTCCCATCGGAGCTAGAGTCGCTTGAAGCAGCTGGCGTAGGCGTAGGCGTAGGCGAAGGTGATCCTCCACAAAAGAAGGGGCCATTATCAGGAACCATTGAAAAGGAAACCCAACACATGACATCCAAAACTTCCCTGTGACTTTTGGCCTGCAGGTCACTTGGGTTTTTCAACGATAAGCCCCCAACCTTGACCGCACGGTGGCCTAGCGAAACACCATGCACCTGCGAGGGGGTGGGAAAGTGGGCGACCAGGCAAATTGTGACTGCCAATGTTCTTTTGCCAATCAAAAAATGTTGAGTCTGCTAATGACCAGTTTTTTTTGTGACCTCGCAGATGGAATCTATCTAGTAAGATCGCATCACAGCACTATGTTCCCCCACAATGCTGAATTGGAATTGGAAGCTCCAGCATTTTAGCTAAAGCAAGTCAAATTTCGATCCAAGCTATATTCCAAAAACCATTCAGGTCTCTACCTTGGCCACCTTGGCCTTCGCTTTGGCACCTGCCTTTGACTTTGCCTTTCCTGCCGCCTTTGCACGAGGCTTGGCCTTCGGTTTGGCAGCTGGGGGCAACACTGGCGGAGCACGTTGGCCAGGGACCCTGGCACCAGGAACTGGGACAGTCGGCTTCACATTCCTGGCATCGGGCAAGGCCAAAGGATGGTCCAAACTATTTAGTGGAATAAACATGCAGGTTGGGCTTGGCTCGTGTGAGCATGTTGTTCAAGCTGACATCTCGCTTGGTAACCTCAACCGTTTTCTTCTTGAGCTCGGCCAAGTTGCACCTAGGCCGGATCTATCCTAGCAAATATTGGAAAACAGTTGTCATTTTTTAAACTTCAATCAGGTATTTGAGGGTGCGGCTTGCCAACCATAGCTTCCGCTTGGAAGCTGCAAAGCTCATCATAGTTCTTCTGCATTTCTCCCAAGGTGACCCCAATCTGATCAGCCATCCTGGGCCGAGGATTGATTCTACAATAATCAGTCAAGGGTTGGAATCATGTAGAATGTTGAGCACAGGTGCGACCTAGAAACTGGGTGGCCCGTTCGAAGCCACGGCCTTTAAGCTTCTCCTGAAATGGACATTTGTTTAATCTAACAACAAAATTTCCTTGTCAAATCAGTCAAACCAATGCGCTATACAATATGCAATGGGTTCCTTCTCCAACTCACCTTTCTCGATCTTCAGTCCCAAGGTTTCAAGGAAACTTGGAAGAACCGACAAAGCTGATGCATTTTCCTGCACCGACGGAAAGATCAACCTCAGTTTTGTTGTCAAAGATCTCCCAGGGGTATATCGATCCTTGCATCTTATAGATTTATATGATGTATATACGTTTTATGGTAGATGCATAACAAATAAAGAATAGGGGCCTATCTCAAAATTGGGGGGCAAGCATTAAGATTCTGAAAAAAGGTTTAGACATATCAGCATAGAATCTTTCGGGATCCCTATCCTATAGCTTATAACTTATAACTCCCACCCCGCCGATGATATGAAATGGTAATAGTTTGGATCTAGCAACTTGAAGGAAGACGAACCTCCCTTAAGCGCATCTTCTTGGTCTTTCTCCGATCCCTCTGTCTCCGGCACAAGTCGCGAGTGGGACTCAGGCACAACGTCCGAGTCAAACATG